CACCACACACACACACACAGACGCACACACACACACACACACACACACACACACACACACAGAGGACAGCAGGTATTCACACTTTTATCTGTAGCCAGAAATTTTTATGTAAAATGTGTTAGAAATTACAAACACTCTCTCTGTTTCTCGTTTACCTCGATCTACCCTCTCTCTCTTACACACACACACACACTATGAGGCCCAGGAGTCTGATGAAAGTGGGTGAAATTCGTTTTAACAAGTGTCTACTCGTTAATCAATTAAGTGTTAATTAAGGAGCGGAGGGCCGTCTGGGGTCCAGATAAACGCTCCACTACAGATCCACTCTGTGTCTCTCTGTTTACTTAAACTTAATGAGATTATCTCTCAACTTTCATTTTACCGAGTTCACCGTGTTCACCAAGTTCACCCAGCAAGGTTAAAGCCAAACATGGAAACTTGAAAAACACGTTCAGAAGGGCACTCCGGTTTAAATTAGAACAAAACAGAAGGGGTTTATTCAGACGTGTATTAAGACAGTGGTTTCTCCTAAAGGAAACCCTTTTCTATCACAAATAATATTCCGACAGCAAATACATAATTTTGAATAATTAAAATACAGTTTTTAGCTGTAATTTTACATAAATTTGCATATGCCAATGAGTATAAATACAAAAAACAGGCTTACATTTACAACAGAATGCTGTTATTATTGAATTTTTCTTATTTTAATCTGAATTTCAAAGTTAGAGAGCTGTAATGAAAGTCATTATCTGTGGAATTACAGTAAAGTAAGAGAATTAAGAAATAATCTGCTCAAAGTACATCAAAATCTCTGGTTTTACACAAACAGTTACTGAGTTCAGTGTTTGTGTTCATCCAACAGTTTTTGATTGAATATGAAATATCTATAAAATATTTCACTTTACTGTCAGTTTACTAAATGACAGAAGAGATTTCTTCACAGAAATGAACCAAATGCTGACATATTAAGTTTTCTTACTTTAAAATCAAGAAGGCCTCACGACCCTCGCTGAAGCTTTGGTGACCCGACCCTCAGGTTGTGTTAAGACATCTTAGTACAATAATGTTTTTTTAAACATAAAATCCTTAAAAATGCAGCATATTAAAGTATTAAACATTAATAAATCAACAGCGAAAGTAAAGGGCCTTAAAAAGTATTAAAAAGTCTTACATGTTATTTTCCGAGGTATTACATTTTGCAGCAGACAGCAGATGCATCAAACTCTCTGTAGATTTATGACTCAAACTGTACAGACAGGGAGAGAAATATAAAGCTGTCCATTGGCCTGATTGTTCTATAAATCTCAATCACTGTGGAAACGGACGCACATAAATGAGCTTCATTCCCTCCCCCACAATTATCCATAAATGGATGTAGAAACCTCTTAAACATCCGTTTGCGTATCAATACTTGTGTCAGCTCACTCGTTACTCACTACCATCAACAAGCACATTCAGCAGGTGTGGTCTGTGGACTGAGAGTCGGAGGACGGAACCCAAACCGTCACTTACACCCACAAAATGTTATAAAACTAACTAACTAACTTCTTTTATTAAGAGATGCTGTTAATATTTACAGTGAGGCTTTTAAAATACAAATATAAGAAAAACAATGAATTAAAAAATACAAGATAGCAGAAAACAAGTAATTAAAATAACTATAAAAGCAGATATAGCGCATATAAAACAATTCAAGTGCCAACAGGTTGAATAACTTTCAATCATGGATTTAAATTCACAAACTGGTGCAAGAGGATTTATCCTTTCCAAGTTATTTGCTGAAAAACACGTGCAAATGTTTTTTTATGCATCAATTGGATTTTGATTATTTATTTATTATATAACTGGATTGTTTTTTTAATGCTTACTGTGGATTTTTGTTGCTATAACAGCAGTGTGCTTTTAACTTAACTTTTAATCTCCTTTGTCTAATGTAGAAATATTATCAGCACAGTTCTATTCTATTTAGATTCTTGCACACTTTATTGAATCAAACTAGTGTTTCAAAATGTTTCTTTCTTAAACTCTACTGATTTTAACAAACCCTGAACACAGAGGCTTACAGATTTGACACGCTTACAGGATACGAAGTTCCTCATGCACCTGTATAACAAAATAGTAGATGTCTAAATCCAATTTGTTTGAGGGAAACAATTGTAGAAGGCCCCTTGTCAGTAGCAGGAGTGTGTCCTACCTTCAGTGGGACCAGTAAGGGCTCTGTGATTTACCCACTGAGCCCCGACAGGAACAAAAGCTCTTATCTGGCAGTTTTAGTGGCACGTTGTCCGCTGGGAGCTGCTCAATAACAACTCACTGTTAACTTGTAATGCATTCAGTAACAACTGCGCCCTCAACAATGACTCCTGTACAATAAAAATCAATATTTCATTAAAAGCCTCAGAATCTCTGCAAAGAAGGTTCACGCATTTGGAACAAAGGTGCCGCCTTTAATTGCGGCTCCTGTGGCTGAAAAATTGCGAGCTGTACTATGCAGTAAGAGATGGCTGTTTAATCGGAGGCTGCTGGGCTGACTCCAGGTCAGCTCAATGTGCCAAAATATCAGTCAGAGCAGACAGTAATCGTCATCTGCACTTATGCTGCTGCAGGCAGACCATTAACCTTGAAAACACACAATAGAAAAATGGATTTTGTTCATTTTTTATGGTTGAGATGGAGGCGTGTCCAATACTATAAAGAGCAGGAAAACACTCTCTCTCACACACACACACACACACACACTGACCAAGACAAAGAGAATATTATTAGTAACACAGACGTCTGTAAAGAAAACATCATGATGCATTTAGACTCTTAAGCCTGGTTCCAGATATAGACTGTATAAAACAGCCCTTCTAGAAAACAAGCCAAACATTATTAAATATAATTAAAAAAAAACATTTGTATGGAGCAACAAAAATCTGCCTGTGGGGTACAATAACTTTACTTAAAGACATTAATTAGCCTTAAAACTAGAAAAAATGTCAAAACTTTTAGAATGTTTTGCTTATTACAAGCAATGAAAATTCAGTTATTTATTATAGACTTTTTCATCACTTC